GGGAGCGGGTCAGCTGAGGGGAGGCGCTCACTGGACTTGGGTCCCTGGGAAGGCTCTGAGCCACTGAGTCTTGCTTGGTCCAAGGTGCAGAAGTGAGACATAAGATCAGATGCTTCCAGCAGGCAGACAGACTTGGCATTTTGTTGTTTGATTGTTCGTGCTGACTTAGGAGAGATTAAACCCCGAGCTGTGCAAGGATGAAGCCGGGTTGCCATATGGGAAGCATCTGCCTCAACATGCTTATCTGTCCTAGGAGCATAATAATTGCATCCAACCTGTAATCAGGTACTCACACTGAATATTTCCTTGTGATGTCTCTGGCTATCCATCCACTTTCCCCCCAGTTCCTCATCTTCTTGCCTTTCCAGGGACAGCGTCACTGGTGGAACAGCACCAAGCCAAGCCTCTTCTCTGGCACAGACACTCTGCTGTGCCGTCAGCCTGCTCTGCCCTCAATGGAAGGTGTGGGTAATTAAGGTAATGAACACTTTCCACGAGCTGCTTCGAGCCTTGTTAATCCACACACAAGTTGCTACAGGCAAACTGTGGCGTCAAGGGTGGGAGGACCAACCGAAGGAACTTCAGAAATTCATTAATCAGACTAATCAAGCAGGCTGTTCCGAACGGAGAGTTCTTTTCCTCCAGTGGCCAGAGGATTAGACATGAAAGGGACTTCTTAAGCAATATTTGGGAACATCTAGGTTGTTGGTCTGGCACTTACGACTAAAGTGGCCGATGCTAATGGTCTCTATCTGAAGCATTAGCATGGAAAATTCTGCAGCTGAGTGTTTAATGTGGATGGCCCAGGTTTCTAGACACAGAGAAGGAGGGAAGTCACCATGAGATTACACCAACACAACCGGGTATTTCAGAGACAGCTAGTGCCACCAAATACTCATTTTTGTCTTCAAGTTTCACGGTTTTGCAGGTGCGGTGCCCTGGGGTCAGTTTGGAGATGTGACTATTTGCTCATACGCCTCAGGTAGCCCTCTCCTTTTCTGCCCTGGCAGCCTTGGAAGACACCGTTCCAGATGACCGCACAGCTCGAGAGAGTTTTCTGTTTGACCCTCCCTGCACTGCCTCTGCACCGAGAATAAAGTTGCAGAGGTTTAAGCTTCAGACATTTCCTGAGTGTCATAGTTTTGGTTCTGTTGGTATAACAAACACCTTGACAAAAAGTCACCTGGAGGAGAAAAGGTTTATTTAGCGTACAATTCCGGGTTACAGCCCATCATTTTGGGAATATTAAGGCAAGATATCAAGCAACTGGTTACATTTCGTGAACAGTCAAGAGTGAAGAGAGAAGGATTGCATTGCTCCTTGTTTGCTGGCTCTTAGTTTCTCCCCTTTTCTACTGTTCAGGAGTAGGTGCTACCCACACTGGGCTGGGACTACCTCCATCAATTAATCAATACAGTCTCCCACAGACATGCCGGCAGCCCAATCAGATGAAGACATTTTCTAATTAAGAATCTTCCCAGGTGACTGTAGGTTGAGTCAAGTCGACAGTTAAAACTAACCAGCATGCTGACCTACTTCTCACTGAAGCAGAAGCTGGCCCACCCTGAAAAATAAACCCGATACTTAAGTCTAAGCCCATTTATAATGTGGAAATAGTGACTAGGTTAGGTGTCTCAAGACAATCTCAAGAGCAGAGTGGCTGGATTTCTGCGTGGCTTTCCATGGACAACTTGAGATTGCTTCTGGGCCCGTTGAGGTCATGGGTGATAGATGATGAAAATGTTACATGGATTCTAAGCATGTACTCTTAAGAGTTGAAAGGGTTGATTAGCATATCTGCTGAGGCTTAGCAGCGGATGTTGAGAAAATAATCCCTGCCCTGTGTCATTCTGCACTTGAACAATGGCTTGGTAGATGACGGAGATACACCTGTGGGTGCCCTGGAGTAATGGGAAACTGTCTTGACTGACAGATTCAGACCACAGACAAATCCCGAGGGCCAGAAAGCAGACTTAGAATGACAAGATGGGAGATAAGCATTCCACATGAATATGAATCTGGTTGAACCGCAGAGCCACAGAGACGAGTGGTGAGGTTCAAGAGCATTATGAAAACAGGTCCAAGTAGCCCAGTGTCACTCAAGAATGGAGGAGAAAGATCAATCCACCTGGCAGGAAATAAGGTTGGAAGGTGACCTGGCATTTGAGTTCTATGACCTCAGGCAGCTGGAAGGGACATGGCCATTTGTTAAGTGTGAGTGGCTGGTACATGGACTCACTCCTTTAATCCTCACATGGACGATATGAGGTAGGTTTAGCTAGGCTGACTTTTCACATGAAGAAACCAAGGCTTAGGGTAAGTTATACAGTTTTCCTACTGACCCCTTCACTTTCTTGACAGTGTGTGTGTGTGTGTGTGTGTGTGTGTGTGTGTGTG